AATAGCACAGTGGGTAGGGCATTTGCCTTGCACGCGGCCAACCAGGGTTCGATTCCCAGCATCCCATATGGTCCCCTGAGCACCATCCGGAGTAATTCCTAAGTGCATGAGTAACTCCTGTGCATCGCCAGGTGTGATGCAAAAAGCAAAAAAAAAAAAAGTGGTGTAGTTTGGTTAAGTCACATTTAAATAATATTTCCGTATATAAGTCCTAGTTTTAGTTAAACTTTAGCTACTCCCTTCAATGAATTAATTACAACATGGAGGACAATGTAATAAACTGACTGCACTGAAAAACATCTGCTAAATTGGAGGACAGGCGAGGAAAATGCTGTGCAGGCCACTTCTTTTCCGTCCCTCATATCTGGGTCAGTGCAGCTCCATCAGAGTGGACACCAGGATGCTGGCTGCAGCCAAGCTCCACGTCTACCTTCCACAGGCTTGGCTACAAGATCTGGCTCAGGAAGCAGGACTCGGCTGGCAGGGATCTGGAGCTCACCCCTCAATAGCTGCCCTGACCTCCACAGAGGCTGCCAGTACTGCTGGAATTTTTTTTTTTGAAATGAAAAGAAAAAGAAAAAAAGATTCTCAATGAATAGAGATGAGACGGAAACAAAGTCACAAGACTGAGTTGAAATTCTGATGCCTTGGGGCCAGAGTGAGAACAGGGATAAAGTCCTTGCCTTGCATGCAGCTGACCCCATTTTGATCTCCATCACAGCATGTGTCCCTTGAGCAACACCAGAGGTCTTTCCTGAGTTCAGGAATAGCCAACCAACCCCGAGCACAAAAGAAAAAACAGATTCTGATGCCCAATTCAATGATATAATCTGGTCTATTGTTTCAGTTTTCCATATATATATACACATATACACACATACACACACAACAACATACAGTGATAGCGCTCTTAACCTTATTTTATTCCCACTTCTTCCCCACTCCTGTTTCCCTGTATTGATACTGCAGTGTCCGTGCTGGGCTTGCATACACTATGCGGAGCTGCAGCACCTGCACAAACTGTGGGTGCTCAGGGCTCACTCCTGGCTCTGGCAGGACTCTGGGGACCATATGGGGTTCTGAGGATCAAATGCAGGGCAGCTCCATGCTGGTGCCCTGCCAGCTGTACTCGATCTCCAGCCAGGTGGTTGGATTTTTAACTAGTAAGTACTTTACAGACATATCCTCTTCATACCTCTCTTAAATTAGGAGGCATGAAGCTATTCCTTTGACAATGCAGAGTGGGACCAATGACAAAACCATAACAAAAGACAGGTGGTTGAGCTGGTGCATTAGTACAGTGGGTAGGGCATTTATCTTGCACGAGGGTGACCTGCCGGAGGGCTCCAGCAGCCGAAGACCTCCAGGACCAGCCACCACCATGCTGAGACCACTCTCCGCACACCTGAAGGTACTGGCAGAGGGACAAATCCACGCGGGTTCCGGGGCCGAGATCTCCCAGCCTACTCGGATTGGAGTCGAGCATCCTCCACCCAGATCCTCCAAATTCCAGTAGGCGGGGGTCACACCCACCACCTGGCCCCCTGGCGCCGTGTAATCCCATCAACGGCCAAGACTCAGAGACTATAAAATCCAGCTCCCAGAACCGCGCAGAACCGGCTGCAAATCTTATCAGGACATCTTTTATAACATCTTATCATCTCATTCCTACTTTGGACAAACTTGCAGGCTATCGAATGTAGCCTGCCCACAGGGCAGAGTCTGGCAAACTCCCCGTGGCGTACCAAATATGCCAAATACCAGTAACAATGATGGGTCTCATTCTCCTAAAGAGCCTTGAATATAATCTCAGGGTTAGGATGAAAAAGACGTTACTGGGGCCTGCTCGAGGCAATCGACGAATAACAGGATGATGAAATGAAATGAAATGAAATGAGGGTGACCTGGGTTCGATCCCCAGCATCCCATATGGTCCCGAGCACTGCCAGGAGTAATTCTTCAGTGCAGAGCCAGGAGTAACCCCTGAGCATTGCTGGGTGTGACCCAAAAAAGAAGAAGAAAAAAAAAAGACAAGTGGTTGTGTTTTTGAGACAGGGAACTAGCTAGGATGTGGTCTTGCACCAATTCGTCATGTAGCTAAACCCTATGCTAGATCTCAGGACTGGCTTGGAAGTTATCAATGCCAACGGACTCCAAGATTATGGTATCTGGAGACACTGAATGCAGGCCAGTTCTCCCCTCCCTCCCTGATGACCCACTTTCTTTCATTATATCCTAATTATAATACATTAGCATGATAAATGATTCCCTACCCAAGCCAGGACAGTTTACAATTGCAGTGACAGCCCCTGGATAGAACCTTATAAAGTGTTCTGGGAGAAAAAAAATGTCTCTCATTCCTTAGAAAACTCATTTCTAAATCCTTCCTTGCTTTGCACAAAATAAGAAATGGTCATAAAAGACTCCCTGACTCCCTGCAGGGAGTTACAACCTGCCCGCCCCCCCCCCCCCCCCACCCTCCCGCCTTTTTCCAGGTAACAGGCCTGTTAAATTGTTAAATGAAGCTTCATTCTTGGGCTACTGCCTTTCTGGGACCTTCAGTCCCAAGTGGTCACAAGGGCTTTCTGCCTCAGTATCACAGTTCAATCCTTCTTCGTTCCATTCACTTTTTGTTGTTTGGGCTACACTGGCGGTGATTAGGGTTACCGCTGGCGCATTGTTTGGGGACTTCTGGAGATGCTCAGGGAATCACAAACCTGAGTCTCCTAGATGTAAACCATGGCTTTCACCTCACTACATCATTGCTCTGGCTCCTAGTTTAATTTAATTTAAATTTGGTGGTATTCGGGGGCTATTCCTGGTGGTACTTATAGCTGGCTGCTGGTGGTACTGAGGGAACCATCTGGCGCTGGGGATCAAACTTGGGCCCCTTGCATGGAAATCATGCATTTTCAGCTATCTATATGCTCCCCATTTATAAATGTGTATTACTTATTGTCGTTCCTGCCCCCTCCCTTGCACTGCCCCTCTTATTTCTTTCATTGGGGGGAGGTGGCGGTGGTGCTCAGGGTATCTTATGTAGTACCAGGGATTTAAACTGGGGTCAGCCACATACAAGGACAGTGCCGAATCTACTGGATTATCTTTTTGATTCCTTAATGTCTACATAGATTTTTAATTTGTAGTCTCTGGATCTTGGCTGTGATAGGATTTCATGGTGCTGGGGGTAGTTTGTGGGTATGACTGCCTCACTACTGGAAAATGGGGGGTCTGGGTGGAGGAGGCCCTGTCCTGTGACTCGCGCACCTGGGTTCCTCTGTCAGTTCCTTCATGTGTGAAGTCATCCGAGCGTGTGGAGAGTGGCCTTGAGCATGGCTGTGGCTGGGTTATGGAGGTCTGCGGCTGCCGGGGCTCTACTCAGTGTGGGGAGGGAAACTCAACCCGCCCCCTCTGAGACGTCCCGGTGAAGATAGCCTGGCTCGAGCAGGAGACTCTTATAGTCTAGTTCTCCTCCTCGGGAGAACCCAGCAAGCTACCGAGAGTATCCTGCCCGCACGGAAGAGCCTGGCAAGTTCCCATGGCGTATTTGATAAGCCAAAAACAGTAACAATGATGTGTCTCATTCCCCTGACCCTAAAAGAGCCTCCAATGCAGCACCGTTGGAAAGACGAGTAAGGAGAGGCTGCTAAAATTTCAGGGCTAGGACGAATGCAGATGTTACTGGCGCACGCTAGAGCAAATCGATGAATAACGGGATGACAGTGATACAGTGATTATTTTTGTTAGGAGTGGGGCCATATCCAGCAGTGCTGGCAGGAATATGTTGTACTGGAGGTCAAACCCAGAATTCCTACCTCGAGTCACAATCCCACCCCCTTACTCAGTTTTGGAGATGGGGAAGGTTCTCCTAGCAGTGTCTGGGAGCCGGGAGTGGGGGGCGAGGAGGGGAAAGGGAGGGGGGGGTCCTCACCTGGTGACTCTTGGCCTGGGCTGCAGATTAGGTGCATGGGCCTGGTGGTGCTATGGGTCAACCTTTTTAAATTCTATTTTGCTTTTGGACTTACCCAGCAGTGCTCAGGGCTGATTCCTGGCTCTGCAAGTGCCTTACACTCTATACTATTGCTCTGGCTCCCTCATCCACTTTTTAAATTTTCTCTTTCTCTCCCTCTCTATAAGGTTTCGGGCCACACACAGTGATGCTCAGAGGTTACTCCTGACGCTATACTCAGAAATCACCCCTGGTGGTGTTTGGGGGACTATATGGGATGCTGGGAATTGAACCTGGGTCAGCAGCATGCAAGACAAGTGCCCTACCCACTATACTATCTCTCTGGCCCCCATTTTTTAATGCTGTTTTCCTTTATCGTTCCTTCTCTTTAAACATTAGCTAGGTTGAGGCCTGGAGAGATAGTACAGTGTGTGGGGTGCTTGATTTGCATGCAGCTGACCAGGATCCAATTCCTTGGCAACACATATAGTCCCTCAAATCCTGCCAGGAGTGATTCCTGAGCACAGAGTCAGGAGTAAGCCCTGAGCACAGCCAGGTGAGGCCCAAGAGAGCAAAAAAAAAAAAAAACAATTAAACAATATCAGGCCGGAGTGATAGCACAGAAGGTAGGGTGTTTGCCTTGCACGCGGCTGACCCGAGTTCAATCCCCGGCATCCCATATGGTCTCCCAAGCACCGCCAGGAGTAATTCCTGAGTGCAGAGCCAGGAGTAACCCTTGAGCATCGCTGGGTGTTATCCAAAAAGCAATAAATAAATAAATAAAATGAAATAAAAACAATAGCCAGGTCAAAAGAGCAATACTGAGGCAGCCCAAAGAGAGTCTGATGGAAAAGCATCTGCCTTGAGAGCATGAAGCTACGAGTCAACGGCATTGGTGGCAGCCCCATCCCACATAAACACAATCCTGTGGACACAACTACGTGTGCAATGCCTGGTGCCCTGCCACCACACATGTGCAGCCTGGGGCGAGTGCCACAACAGCCAAAGGTGGGTACCCTCTGCTCATCACAACACAACGGAGCCCCCTTACCTGTTTGTCGTATGGACGATATTGCCTGAGCGTTACACTGTAGCTGCAGCATGTGTCTCAGCATGGCCACCCCCCACAGAGTCAGCTCCGGACACAAGACTGCCGGCTCAGCTTCTTCTGGCCTGGAGGACTCCTGAGCTGCTGGGAGTGTCCCCAAGGCGGACACTTCCAGCTGCCGGCACAAGACAGAAACACTGAGCGCACAGAGGAATTTGTGCTCAGGGCTATGGTTTTCCACGTGAGGCAAAAGGTTGAAGACGGCATTGTAGTTATTTTCGTACTTCCCATTGAGATCGCAGCCAGGAACTGGAGTCTGAACTCTCTTGTCATTTCTCTCGCTCTCCCGTCTCAGGTGATAACTGAGTGTTCTCACCAGGTTCTTGCTTTCAGGGCAACAGCTGTCCTTGTTAGGAACCTCTCTGCCAAGTATCCTTATGGCTTTGCCAACATCTTCAAACCTAGCAAGAAGAGTCAACCTCAGGGCAGCATGGCAAAAGACACCGAGTGTGAGAAGCAGATGCCCTAGGGAGCACTCAACACTGTGGTAGAGCTCCCAGGCCTGCTGCAGACACTCCTGGCTGCAGTACTTGGCATAGCTGCACCCACTGCAGGGAACCGTGGCCAAGGTGTGCTTCAAACATCGGTGACAGTAGAGGTCCCCATTGGTAACTCTAGTATCGAACTGACTTTCGAGGCTATGATGTAGCAGAGTCGTTTCTCCTGGGTTAAGGACACTCACGAAAGCCCTTTCTTTCACCAGGACCTGTCCTGGGAGGATATCTTTGGTGGCCACCAGATAGCGGCCTTTGACAGGGTCTGTACATAAGCTGACAGACGACGAGGCACTGGAAATCTGTTCATTCTTTTCCCTTAGATCCAGATTCTCACAGGCTTTGGTTAGAGCTCTCGGGAAGATTTCTGTGAGATTCTCTTGTTCGAGAATCTTCATTTTCAGATGAGAGAGGTTTTTCTGCAGAGACTGGGAAGCTGCTAGGGTTGGTTTAGTGGTGAAGTTACTTTCAAGATCACGGATCGTCTGGCTGGCTTCCTGTGGTCTTCTGAGGGCCACTAAACACTCTGCCTTACGCAGCATCAACTTGGGTTGCAATCTTTCTGGATACCCATGCCTCTGGGCTCTGAGGATATCTTCGAGACATGTCTGAGAACAGAAAGGAGGTCCCAAATGAGAGCTGGCCTCGACTTTTCAACGGCTATTAAAAAAATCTTATGGAAAAAAAATCTATAGAAAAGTTTAGGATTATTAAATAATGGAATAATTATAGTGGCAAGCTTATTCCTTCTTTTTGTTTTTGGGCCATACCTGGCAATGTTCAGGGGTTACTGCTGGCTCTGCAATCAGAAATTACTCCTGGTGGTGCTTGGTGAACCACATGGGATGCTGGGGATTGAACCCAGGTCAGCTGTGTGCAAGGCAAGCACGCTACCTGATGTATCTGGCCTTCCCAAGCTTATTTTTTTAAAAAATTATGTCTTGGGAGTCAGAGAGATAGTGTAGTGGTAGGGCACTTGCCTTGCATGGAGCCAACCTGAGTTTTATCCTCGGAATCTGATACAGTCCTCTGAGCAACACCAGGAGTAATTTCTGAGTGCAGAGCCAGGAGTAACCCCTGAGCAATGCTGGATGTGGCCCCAAAACAAACAAAGAACCCCCCCCAAATAAATCCATTGTAGCACTGTCATCCCATTGTTCATCGATTTGTTCGAGTGGGCAACAGTAACATCTCCATTGTGAGACTTGCTGTAACTGTTTTTGGCATATCGAGTATGTCCTGGGTAGCTTGCCAGGCTTTGCCGTGAGGGCAAGATACCCTCGGTAGCTCGCCAGCTCTCTGAGAGGGGCAGAGGAATTGAACCTGGGTGAGCTGCGTGCAAGGTAAACGCCCAACCCGCTGTGCTATAGCTCCAGTCCCCCCACCCCCAATAAATAAAAATAAAAATCATATCTTGTTATGTGACCATTTATCTCTCTTTCTGGGTCACACTTCATGGTGCTTGATGATCCACGAGGTGTCAGCGACCGAATCTGGGGTTTCTGCATGCAAAACATGCACTCCAGTATTTGAGCTACATCCAGCTGTCTATTATGTGATCTTTCAATGACAAGATTATTGATATGTTTAGGCCACACTGCTTAATTGTCTTATTAAGTATTCTTATTTGGGGGAGCTTGAGCCACCAACCATGATGCTCAGGCGCTACTCCCTTCTCTGTGCTCAGGAGACCATGGAGCACTGGGGGTTGAAACTGGCTTGGCTGTGTACAAGACAAGCACTTCTCCTCTGCACTCTTCTTCCCATCCCACAAATATTCCTGTTTTCAGAGGGGAAAAAGATGACAGAGAGAATAATTACGGCATGATGGTGAAGAGGGCAGATTTGGAAATCAAACAGACCTGCATTCCCATATGGACTAGACCGGCTCCGTGACCCTGGGCAAGTGAATTTATTCTCAATCTTCGCTTTCGCATGTGAAAAAGCGGTATAGTAAAAATTCGCAAGTTATTTTAAGAATATTTAAATTAAAAAAAAGAAATTTAAATTTTAAGAAAGTTATTTTAAGAGTGAAATAAGGCTATATAGTTAAAGTGCTATAAAGAGTGACTGGAATATAGCTCAGTGATAGAACATTTGCCTTGCAAGAAGGAGGCTCTGCGTTCAATTCTAGAGACTGTTAAAAAATAAAATGTGGGTGGTAAAAATAACCAATATGGAGATGCTCTAAGGGATTAGATATTTGCAAATTTTTCTAACTGATGCCTTCTGTAGTCCACAAATTTCTAATATAGAGGTAGAGTTATATTCTTGCTCTTCTCTTAGTTTAATAGGATAATAAATATGAATTGAGACCATTTGATGTTCTTAACTGTGAACTTCTAAAATGAGTATAACAAAATACCACTTTACTTTATTGTTTTTGGGCCACACCCAGCAGTGCTCAGAACTTACCCCTGGCTCTGCTTTTAAGGATCATTCCTGGAGGGCTTGAAGGATCATACGGAGGATCATATCCAAGTATCGAACTTGGAATGGCCATGTGCAAGGCAAATATCTTACTGGCTGTACTATTTCTCCAACCCCCAAATATCATTTTACAGCTTGTTTTTTTGTTTGTTTCTTTGTTTGCTTTGGGCCACACCTGGAAATGCTCAGGGGTTACTCCTGGTTCTGCACTCAGGAATTATGCCTGGTGGTGCTCAGGGGACCATATGGGATGTTGGGGATCAAATATTGGATGCCGGGGATCAAATCCAGGGTGGCCATGTGCAAGTCAAATGCCCTATCTGTACTATCTCTCCAGCCTCTAGAGCTTGCTCTTAAATCTGAATGAGAAAGTGGGAAGAAAGCTCCCCACATAAAGCCCGCCACTACTGCCTGAGCATTCAGTGCACCTTCACACACAAAGTACCGAGGAGGAGGAGCTACACTGTCATAGGCATAGTCTTCAACACACTATACCTATTTTCAAAAACCCAAACAAATAAATGTTTGGAAAATGTAAGATATTAAGAACCTGAAGTATCATTAGCAACACGCCTCACAGTTGACCTTGCCGCTGAGAAATACCGAGCCACAGGACAGAACTCTTTGTTGCTGGCCAACACCACGTTCAATGATCACTTCAGAACAGCGGACTGAGTGAAAAAAACAAAAAACAAAACCAAACCAAATTTGGGGGGCTAGAGGGATAGTCCAGTGGGTAGGGTGCTTTACTTGTATGCAGTTCTCTGCAGTTTGATCCCTAGCACCCCACATGGTCCCCCGAGCACCACTGGGAGTGATCCCTGAGTGCAGAGCAAGGAGTCGGCCCTGAGCAGTGCTGGGTGTGACCCCCCAAAGCCAAAAAATCAAAACAAAACAAAAGAATAAAACAAAACAAATTTGGGAGGAAAAAATTTGTTTTCAAGTGAATCAACTGCACCATGGTCTCATTTTGGCGTTCTAACCCAGACGAGTCTAGTCCATGAGTGACGCCCCCAGCAGCTCCCTCCAATCATAGGGGCCCTCCTGATACTCACCTCGAACTGACCCAGGTGCATGAGGGCTGCAGAACGATTGGCGTAACACAGTGAAATGTGCTCTGTGTTAGGCCACGAGTGTGATGCTCCCTGCAAAAGAATGTGCTGGTTAAATGAATGAAAATGAGTTGCTTTCGAGTACTTCCTCCAGGAAATAGAGACTTCATCATTAAAGCCTGCATGAAATCGGGAGTTAAACACATCTCTGTGGGCATTTCATTTTTAGTTACTCTAGAAAATCTGTGAAGATCAAATAAGATCATAAATATTCAACGCACTTTGAAGACAGCAGTATCTGGCACAGTTTTAGACATAAATTTTAACACTAAAGGTAGATGAAAAAGGAGGAAAATATTGCAAGCATAATCTAATCAACATATAACAAAGAGTAACACAAACAAATTTACAAAAGAAAGAAACACTAGTGACATATGGAAAATAAACTGTTATTTCAAATAAGGAATAAAAATGAAAGCAGAAAAGGACTATTTTTTTCTATCACCAAATTGGCAAGGATTAATAATAATAATAATGATGATGTTGTCATTTTAAGCCACTGGCAAGATAATTTGGTGGCTCATGGGGAAAAATAAAGTTGGTTCTCTACAATAAGCCTTTCATTAGGATAAATTCTAAATGGATCAAAATCTTAATGTGAAATATGAAATTAGAAGCACACCATAGGAAACTATAGGTCTAGTATAATATGATGTTGGACTGAGAAATTCCTTTATAACTAAGACACAACATCCAAAGGACAATTCAGCTTAACCACATAGAAATTAAAAAATTTGGGGAACTGAAAGATAGTATAGGAGCTACTATCTCCCGCTTTGTACATGGTCAACCTGAGTTTGATCCCCAGCACTGTGTATGGTCCCTTGAGCCCACCAGGAGTGACTCCCAAGCACAGAGCCAGGAGTAAGCCCTAAGAGGTCACCAGGTGTGGACAAAAACATGAACATAAACAAAACAAATCTTTACTAGGAGCTGGACTGTGGCTTAGTAGAGGATATGCCTTGTAGGCATGAGGACTAGGATTTGAAGGAAAAAATGAAAGGAAAAAAATTTTTTTTCTTGGGCTGGGGGCTCCCCAGCAATGCTCAGGAAGCCTGGGATGAGGGGCATTACTATAGATATGTGGCTTGACAGCGTAGGCCTCAAGAGTCCATGTCTGGCCTGCTAATGCAGTACTGTTGGACATAGGGATGCTGAAGGTTCCCAGGGCCACACTTAGTGGTACTTCAGGGATCTTGTGGTCTGGGGACTAAACTCAGGGACTTTGCAAGCAAAGCCTATGATCCAGCCCTTTGAGCCCTATTTCCAGAGCCCAACTCCACCTCCAATTCTTTTTTTTTTTATGGGGGGGGGTGTCCCACACCTGGCAGTGCTCTGGGCTTACTCCTGGCTCTGCACTCAGGGATCACTCCTAGTGGACTCAGGGGACCATATGGGGTACAAGGGATTGAACCTGGGTCAGACACATGCAAAGCAAGCATCCTACCTGCTGTACTATCGCTCCAGCCATCTGCCTCAAATTCTTAAAAATGAAACTAATAAAACCCATATTAAAACATAAACAAGGAGCTGCAAATGACTAGGGAGATAGTTCAGTGGTCAGGGGCACATGCTTTGCATGCTTTGGGACTGGAGTTTGAACCCTGGCACCTATCAGCTCCCAGAGCACCTCTGGATATAGCCCTGAAGGCCACTGAGCACACCAATGAGGTGACCTGGTGGTCGTGGGCACCACAGAACCTGAGCAACTGTGTATCTTCAGGTTCTGGCACTGAACCATCTGCCTCAGTTGCCGAGTTTTGTTTTTAATTTTTAAAAAATTATTTTACTTTATTTATTTTTATTTCTTTATTGAATCACCGTGGGAAAGGTTACAAAGCTTTCAGGTTTAGGTCTCAGTCATGCAAATATCAAACACATTTCCCTTTACCAATACTTATTTTTTACCATGAAGAACCCCAATAAAACCCCACCCCCACCCCTCCCAGTCCCTGTGGGGCAGATGAATTCTAGTTAACACTCTATCTGCTTTGATTAGATTCATTGTTTCAATAAAAGATTCACCACTATTATTTAGAGTTTACCTCCCCCATCCCCCCCCCCCCGCCAAATCAGACATGCTGAAAAAGCATTGTGAAGTGATTTGCTTTCTACAGCTGGGTTCAAGAATTAAATGTTGGTTTCGGATTTCTACTATTTTACTTATTGACCCTGGAAGTATTTCTACTGAAAGTCAGATAGTTAAGAAATTGGTTTCTGTGCTCTGGAGTTGTGGCCGTGCTGGAGAGCCGCTAGTGGGGGGCAACTGGTGGCCTCGGCAGGGCATGAAGGGCGGACCGAAACACCCCCCTTCCCATGAGGTTTTGGTCGCCCCCACTCCCCCGGCTCATACCTGCTGTCCACAAGGCTCCCATGCGGCCGCCATCCTTCTTTCCAGAGAAGAGAGGGCAAATGGGGCAACACCCTTTCCCCTCTGGCAGACTTGATGGCCTGGATTAATGCATAGTCCGTTCACTTTTCTGCTCCAAGCTGCTGGGTTCTGCATTAAGTTCTTGTGTTTCTGGGGCTGTGGCCGTGCTGGAGAGCCGCTCGCGGGGGACAACTGGTGACCTCGGTAGGGCGTGAAGGACGGACCGGAACGCCCCCCTTCCCATGAGGTTTTAGTCGCCCCCACACCCCCGGCTCATACCTGCTGTCCACAAGGCCCCCATGCAGCCGCCATCCTTCTTTCCAGAGAAGAGAGGGCAAATGGGGCAACACCCTTTCCCCTCCGGACAGACATGATGGCCTGGATTAAGGCATAGCCCGTTCACTTTTCTGCTCCAAGCTGCTGGGTTATGCATTAAGTCCTTGTGTTTCTGGGGCTGTGGCCGTGCTCCAAACTTAACTCTGATTTTCAGAGAGAAACGTTGGGTGGTTTACTTCCCATTGATCACTTTGTTTATAGAGAGACGTCGCGCAGCCGTGTAAGCGGCCGTGCGGTTTGGAGGAAAAGTCCTAGTTCCCGCATACTCGAGCTGTGCTTGTAGAGGCTTCTGGTCACCGGGGTTCCATCTGGGGGAGGCGGGATGCGGTACCTACCCCATCTGGGACTTCCCGATGATCTCGGCTCTTTTTGGAACCTGTTTTTTTTTTTTTCCTTCGGGATCTGTGGATCCCACCCTCCATGTTGTCCTTCTCTTCGGCTGAATCTATTTTACTTTATTATTATTAAAATTTTTTTTTATTATCACACCCAGTGGTAGTCAAGGCTTACTCCTGGCTCTGTGCTCAGGGGCCACTCCCGACAGGCACAGGAAATTATATGGGGTGCTATGCACCGAACCCAGGTCAGTTGTGTGCAAGGCAAGCACCTCCCTGCTGTACTATCCCTCTGGCCCAAGTTGCCAAGTATTGTTGGAAGTAGCCCAGAGCACTGCTTGGGAAGCCCCCCCAAAAACAATAAAAAGGAAAAACTATTTGCAACTCAGATCACAGGCAAAGGGTCCACTTTTCTACTTTATAAACAGTTCCAACAGATCAATAAAATGAAACCAATAATTCTACTAAAAAATAAACAAAAGATATGAACAGATAGTCTAATGGGAAATACAGTTTTCAAACATAAGAAATGCTCAGTCTCACTCATAATTTGTTAAAAGAGCAAATTAAAATTTCACTAAGATATTATTTTTGACTTATCACAATGACAAAAATCGACAGCACAATAAATTGGCAAAGAAGTGGGATAATGGGTATTTTGAGATATTGCTAGTGGGAATGTAAACTGGTATGATTATGGAAGGTAATTTATCTCTATATCCATCTGCCTATCTATATCTTTCAACATAAATATCTGTATCTCCAATCACCCAGTAATTCCTTCCCTAGGACTACTGGACACTGACACTGCTGATTTGCACAGGATCATAAAATTCAATACTACAGTATCATATAACTCAATAATATAATATAATATAGTATTATATAATTCAATAATATAACACAAAATTTCTTACCACACAATTATTTGAAATAGAAGCAGGTAGGGCATTTGCCTTGCATGCGGCTGATCCGGCTGACCTGGGTTTGATTCCTCCGCCCCTCTTGGAGAGCCTGGCAAGCTACCAAGAGTATCTCACCCGCACGGAAAAGCCTGGCAAGCTGCCCGTGATGTATTCTATATGCCAAACACAGTAACAACAAGTCTCACAATGGAAACGTTACTGGGCCCACTTGAGCAAATCGATGAACGGGAGGACATTGCTACAGTGCTACAGTAAAAGCTAGAAAACAACTTAAATACTGCTCCATAGGACACTGGAGTAATAAATGATTATAAATCCATACTAAAGAATGAGATACTAAAGAATGAGGAAGCTCTTCATTTACTGATGCACTGGTCTTCTGGTATCATTCATTACTTGGGGGCTGGGAATGCAGTTAGTGGCAGCGTGCCTGCCTTGCATATGGGAGGCCCTGGATTCAATTCCCAGCCCCACTTACATCGAAAAGAAAAGAAAGCAAGCCATCATTACAATAAAAAAATGTCCTAGACAGACAGAACAGACAGACTATTTTTAGGTGCAAAGAGTATGCAGAGTGAGAGAGAATCTCTATATAAATACAGAAATGAATATGCAATCATTATAAGCAAATATAAATACATAAATATTCACAAACACAGGTACCACTGGAAAGAGACATTTCATGCTGCTGGCAGCCTCTGGGGAAGGTAGACAGGTGGGAAACAAGGAGACTGGAGATGAGGAAGGAAATCAAAATGTGTACGCTCATTCTGCAAATGCACAAATATATTTTCTATTCAAAAACAGAAAAAAAAACCTGAGGAGAAATAATGAGGGATATCCCCTATCAAAGGGCTGAACACAGACTTTGCATGTGAAAGACTTGGGTTCAATTTCCAGCACATTACGGTCCCGAGCACCCTTGGGAGAGAATACTGAGCACAGAGCCAAGAGTAGCCCTGCTCTGCTCCCCAGCACCACTGGGTGTGATCTAGAAACAAACAAAAAAAAATGGAAAAAAATAAGAATGATAATAATAGTTCCAGTATTGCTGAGGATAAAGAGAGAATTACAATTCTATACTCTTGCTAGAAGGGATGTTAAGGACCTCAGTGAACCGGTGAGCATCAGGTACCGGAGGCCTTAAATACATGTGCATATATATTCAATTGATCTACTGATTGCCTTTCCAGGAATTTATTCTAAGGAAATAACCAAATGAGTACAAATATTTACATAGGAAGATGCGCGCTTGCAAGTCTCTGAGAACAATGTTAAATCAAGGAGAGCTCTCTACAATGGCACACGAAGGCAGCCAGGAAAAATCATGTTCGAGTGGAAAATTCATGAGGAAAATACATGAGAAAATGGTCACAGTAAATTGTTGAGGGGGAATAAGCAGGATACACGACAGTAAAGTACAGCATTATTTCAATTTTGTAAAAGAAAAAACATTTTCTGAGGATTAAGTCTGGCTGGCTGGATATGAACATGAATGTTAACCCTGCCTATTGTTGGTTATGAGAGTCATTTATTTTTCTTTATGCTTTTTGCTGTTCTCTAAATACACACATATCACACCCACAATCAGACAAAAACACCAGATACTTATTTCAGAAAAAGGAAGAAAATTGCAGGTTTGTAGAAAATTGCCAACTGCCATCATGGCCTGAACACTACCTTCGCCAGGGAGGGGCCCACCTTCTACTGTCACAACAAACCTGCACTTTTTGGTCTGCCTTCAGTTTTCACTTCACTTTTCTAGAGCAACATTCCACGTAATTATATTCAAATGTTTGAGGGGCCTCCCTCCATGGCTTTTTGTTTGGGCACTGGGCATCAAACCAAGGGCCTCACACATGTGGGGCATACACTCTTAGCACCGAGTCCTCTGGAGAATGTTTTAAAAGAATCAAACCAGGCCAGCGAGGAGCTCAAGGCACTGGAACACATGCTGAGTGTGCCAGAGGCCTGGACAGCAACCCCTGAGCACTGAGCTACTGAGTAGCCCCTGAGTGAGTCTCTTTTCTCTTATCAGACTTCCTCAGGCTTATCTGATTATTTGTCTCATATCTGAACAATAGGATGATTTTTTTTGCTTTTTGGGTCACACCCAGAGATGCACAGGGGTTACTCCTGGCTCTGCACTCAGGAATTACTCCTGGTGGTGCTTGGGGGATCATATGGGATGCTGTGAATTGAACCCGGGTTGGCTGCATACATGGCAAACACCCTACCCACTCTACTATCGCTCCAGCCCCAATAGGATGATTTCTTTTGTGGCAGGACATTACTAAAAAACATGACAAAGGACTAAACACACAGATTACTAATAGCCACTATTCCTTCTCAAAATCTGGCACCAAATAATTCTAAATATCCTTTGACAACATTCAAAATGAAGTTTAATTGGACTGCAGTGATGTAGCTTCTTTTCTTTTCTTTTTTTCTTTTTTTTTGTTTCTTTTGGGTCACACCCAGAGGTGCTCAGGTCTTACTCCTGGTTCTTTGTTCAGGGATCGGTCCTGGAGGTACTTGGGGGACAATATGGGGTTCTGGGGATCAAACCCAGGTCAGCAGTGTGCAAAGTAAGCACCCTACCTGTGGTACTATTCTTGCATCCCTTATTTTCCTTTCTATTGAGAATTTAAGTCATGCTGGTTGTAAGCTAACACCGTGGTTAGCCAAAACTAGTTTTTGTCTAGATCCAGATTATGAAACCAAGGATTTTACCATTAAAAAAAAAACATACAATTTAATGAGATCTGACAGACTGAGTGAGACAGGGCAAGAGGTCTGTTAGATCTTATAGCAATAAGTTATCTGAAGGAATATAGGAATGAAAGTTTAAGTAAATTCAATATATCAAAATTCAGGACACATAATTTCAACTACAGCAAACTAAAATCAAGAGCAGAATTTTATCTGTTTCCTTTCCTTCTCTCTCTCTCTCTCTCTCTCTCTCAAGCGGGTGTCACTCCTGTCAATTCTGGGACCCGGGGGTCCTTCCTGGTAGAGATCAGGGATGTGCCTGTCATCTGGCTCAGCTATGTCTGGGGGCCGATGAGGTGTGGCTGAGATCGAGCCATGTGGTATAGAGACAAAATGTAGGGCCTTAGACTATGCTAATCATGTGTTTTATGACTTCAGTCATATTTCCAGCCTCAATTTTCTTATTCAAATCCAATCCACAAAGGATACATAAAACTAGGGGCTGGAGAGAGATAGTACAGCAGGTAGGGCACTTGCCTTGCATGGGGTTGACCCAGGTTCGATCCCCATCATCCCATATGATCCTCCGAGCACCACCAGAAGTAATTCCTGAGTGCAGATCCAGGAAGGAGGCATGAGCATTGCTGGATGCAGCCCCCGAACCAAACCAAACCAAAACAAAAAATCCTCACATAAAACCATACTGTACAGGGGCTGGAGAAATAGCACAGCGGGTAGGGCGTTTGCCTTGCACGCGGCCGACCCGGGTTTGATTCCCAGCATCCCATATGGTCCCCTGAGCACTGCCAGGAGTAACTCCTAAGTGCAGAGCCAGGAGTAACCCCTGAGCATCGCTGATGTGACCCAAAAAGCAAAAACAAAAAACAAAAAACAAAAAAAACCCTATCTCCTGAAAAAGAAGCACTGGGGACCAGGAGATAGTCTAGGGTAGGCACCCAGGCCTCCGACACATACTGCTGGATATAACGATGGTCCTGCTGGATATAGTCCTGGGAGATTATATGCTGGAGGTACCCAGCACCGTTAGGGTGATCCTGGTGGTTCCCAGCACCACAGGACCCTTAAAGCACTACAAACTTGGGCCCTCACATTGAACTACCAGCCCAGTTGGCCCCTAGGTGCCCCGAGCACTGTTTGGCAGGCACCCTGATTCCCTGCCCTGTCACCCCCCCTCAAATGATGCATTGCTGAAGTGTAGAAACAGATGAGCCGAGCTGATATCTGGCCGAGCTGGGAGGACCTTACCTTTGAGTATAGCACTGCGGCTCCCACATAATCTTTCTCTTGGAATTTTCTGTTCCCTTGTTCCCTGTAGAAAAGAGGAGCGTCAGGGTCCTTTCCCACAAGGTAACTTGTAGAAAGTCTTTTCAAAAACATCTCATCTTCAGGTCTTTATGAAAAAAAGAAACAAACAGAAAGGACAAACATGTTATTTCAAGGGGCGTTCTGAAGCTCCTATAATGTCAGGGGTCACAGGGAGACTGTATGTGGTACGTACTAGGGCAGGCAGGAGGAATCTTGTACTCCTACATAGGGGCTGGGAGTTCCGTGTAGAGGACAGGATGCTATTTTATTTATTTATTTTTTTGCTTTTTGGGTCACACCCGGCGATGCTCAGGGATTACTCCTGGCTTTCCACTCAGGAATTACTCCTGGCGGTGCTCAGGGGAACATATGGGATGCTGGGAATCGAACCCGGGTTGGCCGCATGCAAGGCAAACGCCCTACCCACTGTGCTATCACTCCAGCCACTAATTTTTTTAACTTATAATCACTGGCCAATAAAATTTTTTAGATAATACATTAAAAGAAGCCTACAGGGCTAGGGAGATGGCTCAAAGGGCTGAAGTGTCAAAATTTTGCCTGCATGGGGTCTAGGCTCAATCTCGGGTACCAAAGATCCCCAAACATAGCTGGGGAGTGACCACCTGGGCACCGTGCTGGGAGTAACCCTGACCACTGTCCGGTGGGGCTCAAACATAAACAAAAAGCCTGAATGTAGAAAATTATGTAATACACAGAATCTTTGCACTGAGGAGTATTCCTCAGTTAAATTTTGCTGGAAATACTTGAGTGAATGGCTGAAAAAAAAAGATAGGGAGTGTGGAAAAGAGGGCGGAGAGAGAGAGAATGTAATTAAATATGGGTATCTGGAGAAACAAAGAAACGGGCTCTGCATTCAGGGATCACTCTTAACTGTGCTCTGGGGACCATATGGAGTTCTGGGGACCAAACCTGGGTCAGCAGCATTCAAAGCAAGCACACTGCACTATCGCTTCGGCCTCAAGCGTAAACTTTTTTTGAGATAACTCCCTTTGAGCCCCTAGGTTTTTGGTTTTTGTTTCCCTGGGGGGATGTTTTGGCCACACCTGGTGGTGCTCAGGGGTGACACGGTACGAGGGACTGAACTGGGGTCAGCTGCACACATGGCAAGTGCCTTATAACCCACAAGCCCCCGCCCGGATTTTATTTCATACCACCAATCGCCAGTTAGAGAATGTAATTGGAGAAAGAAAGGTTTTATTTACAATAACAAGAAAAACCTTACACAACTAAGAATAAGTCGAAGAGGAAATGTACAAGATCTACACAGAGAAAACAATACAAATTTACTTAGGGACATAAAAGAAGCCACAAACAAATGGCAAGACAAACCCTTTTCAGGGATGAGGAGATTTAATATGGTAAAGATGTCAACTCTTGGGGCTGGAGCAATAGCACAGCAGGTAGGGCGTTTGCCTTGCACGCGGCCAACCCGGGTTCGATTCCCAGCATTCCATATGGTCCCCTGAGCACCTCCTGAGCGCAGAGCCAGGAGGAGCCCCTGTGCATTGCTGGGTGTGACCCAAAAAGAAAAAAAAAAAAGATGTCAACTCTCCCTAAATGAATCTACAAATCCAACACAATTCCAATTTAAAAAAAGGTTTTTTTTTTTAATTTATGAAGCTTGATAAGCTAATCTTAAAGTTTACAAATAGGGCAAATGTCCACAAAACAAGCCAAGATATTCTGAAAAAGATAACAGCTGCACTTCAGTGAATTTGGCAAACCAGACAGCAAAGTCACACTTGCACTAACCCCTGCTACTTGAGAATGCTCCTTGCTTCTACTGTGGAGCTAGAAGGAAGCTCAGCGGGAAGCCATGTCTTATGGTTGAGCTGGGTCTGACCACAATTTTGTGACATGTGACAGAGCTCTGGTGGTTCAGAAGAGCCCCACACCTTTCACTGAAGAGATGAGAGAGTACAGAGGGTAAGGCACTTGACTTGCATGTGGCCAACCTGGGTTTAAGCAATGCCACAAGTAATTCCTGAGTGCAGAGCCAAGAGTAACCCTTGAGCATTGCCAGGTGTAGGATGAACACATATGTACCTTTCGTGGAAGGGATGGACATATAAGTAATCGAAGTTCAGTTGATAGAAGTTCAACCCAAAACTTTTGGGCCAAAACTCTTGGGAAAGATAGTGTCTTTCTTGTAATTATGAACCTACTGGGGTTTGTCCAAGGCTGTCAGTTGTTAAGAGTATCCACCAGATATTTGGATTCAGAGCCTAAAGACGTCTTCTGGGATCCTGAATACAACACTACTTGAAAACGTATGACGGGGCTGGACTGATAGTACAGTGGGTTGGGTGCTTGCCTACCTAGGGTGTGGTCCCCCCCTCCATATGGGACCCTGAACCTGGGGAAGGGATAAGCCCTGACACAGAGCCAGGCAGGAGTAAGCCCTGAGTGCCCAAAATATGAAAGAAAGAAAAGAAAAAAAGACTGCTCTTGGATATGCTAGTTTCAGAGTGGACACATTTTCTGTTTTGACCTGAGTATCTTGTCATTTGAAAATGTAAAAATTCCAATATGATTTTGTATATAAAAATCCACAGCACCAAAAAAAAAAAAAAAAAGGAAAGAAAAGGGGGCTGGAGCAATAGCACAGCTGGTAGGGCGCTTGCCTTGCACGAGGCCACCCCGGGTTTGATTCCCAGCGTCCCATATGATGGTCCTCTGAGCACCACCAGGGGTGATTCCTGAGCACAGAGCCAGGAGTGACCCCTGTGCACTGCTGGGTGTGACCCAAAAAGCAAAAAAAAAAAAAATCCCCAGCACCCCATACATATGGTCCCCTGAATCTGCCAGGAGAGATCCCTGAATGCAGAAATTATAATAATTAAGGGGCTGGAGAGATAATATAGCGAGTTGGGCATTTGCCTTGCATGCTCATGACCTGGGTTCGATCTCCAGCCTCCCAAATGATCCTCCAAACATGTCCTAGAGTAATTCTTTTTTAATTTTTTTTATTTTATTTAATTTTTTTATCATTTAATCTTTTTTTTAAATGAATCACCATGAGGTACAGTTACAGACTTACAAACTTTCATGCTTATGTTTCAGTCATACAATGATCAAGTACCCATCCCTCACTAGTGCCCATTCACCACCACTAATGTTCCTAGTACCCCTTCCACCACCCCCTCAACCCCCCCACCCCCACTACCTCCCATGGCAGGCACTTTTCCTTTTATTCTCTCTCCTTCTGGGTGTTATGGTTTGTAACACAAGTATTAAGTGGCCATCATGTTCGGTCTATAGCCTACTTTCAGCACACATGTCCCATCCCGAGCGTACTCTCCTTCACTTGGTGGTCCCTCCTCTGTCTGAGCTGCCTTTTCCCCCAGCATGTGAGGCCGGCTTCCAAGCCGTGGAGCAATCCTCCTGGTCCTTTTCTCTATTATCCTTGGGTGTTAGTCTCCCATTCTGTTAATTTATATCTGGAGTAATTCTTGAGCGCAGAGCCAGGAGTAAGCCCTGCGCATTGCCAGGTGTGGCCCCAAAACAAAACAAAACAAGACAAAACAAATATAATAATAATTAAAACTCTGGTTTGGCCACAGAAAAAGAGTCTAGAAACAAATATATAGATGGGGAGAATTAAATATATACAAACTGAGGGGCCGGAGTGACAGTACAGCAGGTAGGGCATTTGTCTGAGTTAAATCCCCAGCATCCATACATATGGTTCCCTGAGCCTACCAGGAGAGATCTCTGCGTGCAGAGCCAGGAATAAATTCGGAGCATGGCCAGATGTGTTCCTCTATCAACACCTCTTAGTCCCTTAAAAAAAAAAAAAAGCCAAAATAAAACCCATACTGAAGCACTGGGAAAGGAAGAAAGGAAGAGCTATTCAATAAATGCTGTGGGAAAATTATCTGTCTAGATAAAAATTAGAACATTCTGAATTGGAGAGGTAGTACAACAGGTAGGGCGCTTGCCTAACACTTGGCCAATCCAGATTCTCTCCCCCAGTCCCCTTGTGGTTCCCCAAGCTGACTAGAACTCATCCTTGAGTGCAGAGCCAGGAGTAAGCCCTGAGTACCACCGGGTATGGCCCCAAAACAAGAAAAAACAAAACAAAACAAGAAAACAACAAAAAAAAATCAGAACCTCCCCAGGCTGGAGAGGCAATACAGCAAATAAGGCATTCAACTCAAGAGGTTGCAGTGGCACTGGTTTGAATCCCTAATCCCACCAGATTTGGGCCCTGAACACCACTGGGAGTGATCACAAAACTATCCCCCTCCAAAAATACACATAAATCCCACCTCTTCATGTCACATACAAGAACACATTTCAGATGGATTAAAGATAACTGAAACACAGAACTATTTTAAAATGTTAGTGTTAAGGGCCAGGGTGATGCTCAAAGGTCTGAGACAGGCAGCACATGAGGTGGCCCTGGGTCTGAGCCTTGGCACCACATGGTCCCCTGAACGCACCTGGGAGCGATTCCTGCACACCACCAAGGATGGTGCTCTGACACACAAACAAAAGAAACAAAGACAAATGAGATTTTTAAAATTTAAAGGCTGAGCAGAATATTCTAAAACAGAGACAACCCCGACCCTATAAATGGAAATATGTGACAGACAATTTATATGAAAACACACCATGGATAGTTCAATGTCAGAGCACATGCCTTTGACCCTTGGCACATCCATGTGCGCACACACACTTAAAAAAATAGGGGGCTGAAAAGAGACAGTGGGGAAGATGCCTGCTGTGAACAGCCCTGGCACCACACACAGTCAGTCTGGCTGTGGAGCTCGCCGAAGGTCACATGTTGGTTGTGGGGCTTGACCCTCCGGCCCAGGTGCATCCCGCGCCTGCTTCCCTTCAGTGGTGGTGCTCGAGCACACTGATTATAGCGCTCAGCAGGTGTGGGGCTTTTGCATTCCTGGCTACAGTAAAGTCGAAAATAAGAAATCTTTTGCAGCACCAGGAATCACTGTCAGGATTATGCTCAGCATATGTGGCAGCTCTAGGGCCTGAACTTTTGACCACATGCTTTCAAGGTGGACATCCTAAGCATGTACTTTATCACTGAGCCACATTCTGTTTCCCTGCTTTATTATTTTATTTTTTTGCCCACACCTGGTGGTGCTCACAGGACTGACTGACCTCTGTCAGGGCTTGGAGGACCATATTTAGTGCTGAGGATTGAACCTAGGTGGGCCCTATGCAAGGCAAGCATCCTATATGACGCTGCACTATCGCTCTGGACCCCCTTATTTTTGCTTTAATTGAAGTAATACTACGTTATAAGTATACATGTAAGCAATTAGCAATACAGCACATCCCTTGTGTGCATGAGGCCTTCAAAGAAACAAGAATATCACATGTAAATTCATTAAGTTTCCCACTGAAAGTCCACTTGTATTCTTCATAATACATGGGCTCTAATGTACACGACACCTTCTACTTCTCCCTTCCCTTCCGATAACCCCTTAATTGGTTTTGTAGTCAGTCCAAAAGTTAATGTTTTATTTAGCTCATCTTAAGGGGCCAGAGACAGCACAGGGGTTACGGCTCTGCCTTGCATGCTGTTAACCCTGCATCGCATCACATCACATTACCAAACAGGGTGAGTGGTCAATCTGATCAGAGCCAGGAACAGCCCATAAGCAAAACTGGGTGCGGCCTCAAGTCTCCTCACCTCCCCTAAAAATACTTTTACTAAAGAATGTAATCAAGGGGCTGGAGCAATAGCACAGTGGGTAGGGCATTTGCCTTGCATGTGGCCGAAAAGGGTTCGATTCCCAGCATCCCATATTGTCCCTTGAGCACAGTCAGGCGTGATTCCTGAGTGCAGAGCCAGGAGTAACCCCTGTGTACCACTGGGTATGACCCAAAAAGAAAAAAAAATAATGTAATTAAGAGGATTAGAGGTGATTGGGACAGATCTACTCAACAAATTTCATGCTGCTTGCAATTTTTCTTCTGGCATTCTGTGAGGACAGGCAGAGAAGACAGAGAGCAAACTCCAGCTTAATCCCTGAGCATATTCCAGGAGGGGAAACTACAAAGACTCACCACAGCACAACAAGAACACTAGAAAACCAATGGGGAAGACACATAAAAGTCCACCAAGATCAATGAGCAAAAACAATATCACACACTGGTAAATCCTCAGACAGTGTCTTTGGTGACACTATGATGAGGATGTTCAGTGAGTTCAAAGAAATGATAGCACAGGTAGTCAGCAAAGCAAAAGAAAGTATGAGAGTTGAACTAAAAAAAACTATCAAGAGTCAGAAGTAACAGAAATAAAGAACATGGTAGGTGAGATTAAAAAAGTCAATAGAAGCTCTGAATAGCAGAATAACAGAAGCTGAGCAATAAGATCTAGGAGCTCCAGCGAGAAGAAGAAAACCACTCTGAAACAGCAAAAGGTAGAAAATAGCCTAAAAAAAAAAGAACAGCACCCCAGAGAACTATGCAATGAGTTCAAGAAGAACAATGTAAAAATCATCAGGGTCCCGGGGCTGGAGAGATAGCACAGCGGGTAGGGCGTTTGCCTTGCACTCGGCTTACCCAGGCTCAATTCCCAGCATCCCATATGGTCCCCTGAGCACCGCCAGGAGTAACTCCTGAGTGCAGAGCCAGGAGTAACCCCTGTGCATCGCCAGGTGTGACCCAAAAAGCAAAAAAAAAAAAAAAGAATCATCACGGTCCCTGAAGGCAAATGTGATGAAGAAACAATATTTAAAGGAATCATGAATAGGAACATCCCAGAGTTGAGGATTACAGGCACCAAGATCCAAGAGGCCTGAGGGTCCCAGTGAAAACAGACCCAATTAGAAACTCCAAGACACTCAAAATGACTAAATCCAAAGATAGAGACAGAATGTCAAATTCAGGAAGATTAAAAATAGAATTTATATACAAAGAAAGAAAATCCCGGAAGAGGTACAGCAGAATAAGACTCTACAAGCCAGAAGAATATGGAAGAATACAACACAAAAATGCAACAAAATGAAGACCTCACCAAGAATACTCTATCAAGCTTGCATCATTCAGATCTGATGGAACTATGCAGAGCTACACAGACAGACAACACCTTAGGGAATCTGTAGCCCTGAAACCAGTTTTGCAAGCATTAAGAGGGCTCCTTTAAAGGACAGGAGAAACCTACCATCACATGCCATTGAATATGGCACTCACCAATGGTACATACAAGATTGTCTTCTACAAGATTAAGAAAGGTTAAAAACCTGTAGCAATTAATGATCACAAATTGACTTTTATTGATTTATTTTCTGACAACTCTTTGCCATTCTTTCAAGTTTCATTGGACCAAGTAATATGAAATAAGTTTGTTACATGAATGGCATGGGGACAAGCTATGGGGTGGGAGGGAATCTGGGGATAATGGTAGAAAGAAAGGGACAGTAGAGGTGGTATTGGTGCTGAAATGTTGTATGCCTGAAACAACTCTACTATAAACACTTCGTAAATCATGGTGTTTCAGTAAACATCCCTAAGAGGAAAAATAAAGAAATAAAATTAAAAAAAAAACCAGAGAATTAGAAAACTCCTGGAGTAAAACCAATATGAACTCTAAATTCCTTTTCAGATTTTAGTGACTTAAGGATTTCTAGGGCTGGGGGTGGGGAGGAATGATGGGAAGGAAACTGGGGACACTGGTGCTGGGAAATCTACACTGGTGGAAGGATGGGTGTCGGAACACTGTATGACTGAAATCTAACCATGAACAGCTTTGTAAGGGTCCATCTCATAGCGATTCAACAAAAAAATTAAAAAAAAAAAAGAATTTCTAGGGCTTGGGGTCGGAACAATAGTAAAGTGGATTGCCTTGCATACGGCCGACTGGGGTTTGATCCCTGGTATCCCATATGGTCCTCCTAGCCTGTCAGGGGTAATTCCTAAGTGCAAATTCAGGAGTAACCCCTAAGCATTGCCGGTGTGACCCAAAATGCCAAAAGGAAAAAAAAAAGAATTTCTAGGGTTAGGAATGCAGTTCAAAGGGCTAGAGCATAAATCTTGCATTCAGGGGCTGGAGCGATAGTACAGCGGGTAGGGCATTTGCCTTGCACGTGGCTGACCCGGGTTCTATTCCCAGCATCCCATATGATCCCCAGAGCACTGCCGAGAATAATTTCTGAGTACATGAGCCAAGAGTAACCCCTGTGCATCTCCAGGTGTGACCCAAAAAGAAAAAAAAAAAGAATAAATCTTGCATTCAGGAGGCTCTGAGAATTGAATGATTCCCCTTCCCCAGGTACAGCTGGGTGTGGTCTTGGCGACCCTGGGACATGGCCTGGGTGACCCTTAAGTCTCCTAGTTCGCTAGGAGTCCCAGCAGCACTATATCCTTGATCCTGTGCACTGTCAGGCCTGCACAGCAGGATTAAATATCATCAGTGTTCCCGAGCCCCCAAACACTTCTAGGGAACCCCTCTCCCAAATTTCTTCATGCAGCTAGAAAACCTGGTGAGACAGGTCAAAGTTCACAGCCTAGTGATTATACAAATAATCACTATTATTAGTAACTATAGAAAGTTGTGATTATTGAAATATAACACTGAAAAAGTTAAATGGTACCTTCTGTTCTAGAAGTAGCTTAGCAAAAACTGTGGAAACAGCAAATACTGCCAAGTGCCCCCAAATATGAAACAGGGCATGTTTCCTGCTGTGCCACCTCTGGCCAAAGGCAGTGGAGGGATGGGCATGAGGTGCACCTCAAGGCCTAGGGGCTACCCCACACCATTCACAGGACAGATCTGATTTATTTTGGTAAAAAAACAAAACAAAACAAAACTTCACATCACATTTGGCCTGACCCATAAACAAAGTTATTCAAGGACAAATATAAATATATACAAAAACTGAACTTAATTCTCACACCCCAAAAAATATTTTTGAGAACAAATGACAAAAAAAAAGACATTTTCAAGATCAAAATATGCCTGGTAGAACTTTCCATGCACTTACTGGAGAAGCAAAGAGGAGTGATGAAAGACGTCGCTCAAAGACTCTGCTGTAGAAATTCTGACTTGGATAGACTTTGGGAGCACAGACCACTTCTCAAGTATGTAAGATTTCCACTCCTCCACCGGCAACTCCATGTTATTTTATCTGTAAAATGAGAAAGAAAATAAGGAATTTAGACTTCTATAAAAAAAAAAATCAAGATTTTTTTTGGTTCAAGCAAGTAAGAAAAACAAGAACAACTCTCTTCCCCCAGCCATCCTGTGGTTTATGTGGCAGAGGAAGCGTGAGCTATAGGCTGTCAACCAACCATTTTTTATTCAGAAATGCTTACTGACAATCTACTTTATTCCAGGCATCATGCTAGTTTTGTTTTGTTTTTGGGTCACACCTGGCAGTGCTCAGGGCTGACTCTTGGCTCTTGTGCTCAGGGAGCCACAAGGGGTGCTAGGGATTGAACTCTGGTTGGCCACCTGCAGAGCAGCCACCCTACCCACTGTACTATCTTTCTGGCCCCTAACTGGTGCTTACCATCAGACACTATCAGTTAGATATATATCAGTTAGACACCATCCCTTAAACTGAAGAGATGCCCTAATCACTTGGACACTTAGAGGCAGCCAGATTTTTCTTTCCCACCCAATTCTACAATTATTTACGAGTATTTTTATCTTTTAACATAATCTCCTTCAGTCCTCCTTTTAGGACCGCCACGGTTTATCTGGCAATCTTTCTAGTGTCATACTTTGTCTCCATATCTTCTTCCCCTCCCACTTCCAGTTCTTACAATTCTCCTTTGCCGTAAACTCAACAGTATTCCGAATCAAGAGGCCCTGTGTGAACATTACCTTTCCTCCTCTGTCCCCTGGTTTACTCTCTAAAGGCAAGTTTTACTTATTCCTTTCTACCCTGCTAGCCTGATCTATTCCCAGCTCCCCGGGCTATTCCATCTACTTTTTTGCATGCGTTATTATTCAGTTTTTCTAAACTGACACACTCCGTACAATTTATTTTAAATGGCACCTCCTCCACGAAAGCCTTTCCTGATTTTCCATCTGTGATTCCAGCAAGTTTTGTTTTCCTCGGGTCCTGTATCTTTATTTTTCACCACACTGGGCAGTGCTCAGGGCTGGCCCAACGCTCAAGGAGCATTCCTGGTGCAGGGGGTGGGGAGGTTTGGGGGACAGAACCCGGGTGGACAGCGTGCAAGGCATGCGCCCTACCCGCTGTACAAAGGCTCTGACCCCTGAACTATTCTACCCTGAATTAGGGCCGTTCTCTGAGAAAATTCCCACTGCACGTCAAGCTCTCCGAGCACTGGGATCAGTTCTTATTACCTGCAAGGCCTCCCCACGCCACGTTTAGTCTGACACCGCGGGGCGCTTAGCACTTTCATCACACTTAGCAGCGGGCCCGTCAAACACGTCTGTCCCAGGGCTACCTGCCCTTGCAGCCAAAGGCCGGGCCGGGCTGGGCCGGGCCTGTCCCCGGAACCGCGCGTCCGGCACGCCGGGCGCCCCGCCGCCTCCCGTTTGGCGCGCCCCGAGGCCCCGCGCCCCGCCTGCGCGCGCCGGCCCGGAACCGCTCAGGGGCGGGTCACACGGACCTCCCGCCGCGCCCCGGCCAATGCGCTCGCAGCTCGGCCCTAGGCCCGCCCCGCGCCCGCGCACGTCCGGAGGCGGGAAGGGAGGACGCCGCGGCGCGGGCCAATCGCCTGGCAGCGCGCGGGTCGCGGTGGCGGGGCCGGGCGGCGCGGGGCCGGAGCGCGGGAGTCGCCGCGGCGGAGCCATGGCGGGCCACTTGAGCGAGGGCGCCCTGGCGGTGAGCTGGCGGTGGGCGCGGGGCGCGGGGCGCGGGCGGCCTGGGGCAGGCGGCTGCGCGGGCCTGGGTCCCGCACCGATCCCCCCCCCCCTAGTTTCCGAAGTGCGCGCCTGTGTTTGCGGCTTGAGAAAACGGGACGAAATACGCGACTTCCTCCTCTCCCGCCCGTGTTCGCGGGCTCATCTTCTGACCCTTCCCGGGGCCAGATTTGGGTCGTTTTCGGTTGTCTGCAGTCGCATTTACTCACCTGCCCTTAACCTGCTTCGATCGGTTATTCGGTGCTCGTAGAAATAACCACGGTTGTACTGAGCAGAGCCTCTAAGTTGCTAATTTGCCGCTTTTCCTCTCTGCGCCTGCGGGTTCTCAGGCGCGGTGGAGTTTGTCGGTAACATTGTTTTCTGTGGCTTAGCTTGCCTGTCCCGTTTGCAGGTCCCGCTTTGCATATTTTTGTTGAGAAAGGGTTCTTCCTTCCCCGGAACAATCCCATTACCACCCTCGTGTCAATTACGCACATATTTCTTCTCTCCCCCCCGCCCCCCGACTCTGTAAAGCACAGTTATTTAATTTCTCTGATCTTCTGATAACTCCCAAGTATAAAATTGACTTATCTGGATGAGTGGTATTACCCGTTATCCCTACAGTCATGCTAGCTAGAAACTGAGTAATCACACAAGACAAATTCGCTTTGGATGTGCAGTCCGTTAAGCCCTGTGTATTTTCACTTTCTTGACTATCTCTTAAATTTGTCCAGTACTTTTTTTTTGGGGGGGGGGCACACCGGCTGTGCTCAGTCAGGGCTTACTACTGGCTCTGTGGTCAGGGATCACTTGTGGCGGGCTCTGGTGCCCGAGTATCTCAGGTTGCAAGCAAGGCAAACACCCCACCTGCTGTACTATGACTTACCCCAAATTTGTCAGCGTGCTGACCACGTTTATACCTATTCCTTCCTGAACTACTAGCACTCAGCATGCCCTCTTTAGACTATTGCTAGTTCCCAGTGGTTCTTGCTTCCTTTCCAGCTTTCCTTTTTTTAAAATTTATTTTGTTCGTTTTGGATGTTTCTCCATGCTCTTGCATTTTACAAGACCGATTGAAATTCTTTTCCCGCTGCCTTTTACCTAGTTAGTGTAAACCTATGCCTGGTTTAACAATCTTTAAATTTTAGTTAGGGCATAATTCTTTAGAGAAGCTTTTCTGGGCCAACTCTACTTTATTTTGATAATCTAATTCCTATTCATTAACATTAGCTGACTTTGGATGGCATGTTGAAATCTCACCTGTAAAATAAGGGTACTGATAGCTAGTAGCTACGGCATAGCTACATGGGAAAATTAAGTGCATTGCTATATTTAAAATGCTTAGCCTATACCTGAGAAGTGTTCAGCGCTTGTTAGTTACGTATTATTGATGGTCACAGATTAATTTTACAATTTGTTGATTTGATAATGCCAGCTACCATTTGACTTCTCCACTGCATTGGAAACCCATGGCACTGGAAGTTCTTGGAGGCCTTGAAACTATGTGTGTGTTTTGTTTTCTGTTTTGGTCCACACCTGGTGGTGCTCAGGGCTTACTTAAAACAGGTGCTCTTCTGTTCAGGGATCACTCCTGGCAGTGCTCGTGAGACCATATGGGGTGCAGCTGTACTATTGCTCTAGCCCTTATGTGTGTTTTTTCCCGACATAGGTAGCTAGAGGAGTGTTGGTGTTAGGTGCACAGTAACACAGGAAGAAGATGGAAGTTGGGGACAGTGGCAGCTGGAGGGAATGAAGATTAGACTGCAGATAAAATAGGGACAGTGATGGAAGGTCTTGGGCATTTTGATGGTGGGTTAGTGCTATTGTAATCATGTCACCTAAACTGGAATAAAAGATGCACATTTTTAAAAGCAGAGATGCTTGAGGTAGAGGAACATGAAGGGGAAGAACAGTTGCAGTTGAGTGAATATTTAAATAAATTAAGAATAATTACCTAATCACTTGGAAAGTGATTGCTGATTGTAGTAATTTATTTAATAGATATCACCTTGTGCCTTTAAGACAAATGGGATAAGGGTAAAAAATTAGGAATGGGGATGGGGAATGGGAGATAGTTTAAAGGGCTAGTCCTCACACTGATTTTGATTCCCAGCATTACAGGATTGTGGTCCCCAACCCCCCCCCCCCAAAAAAAAACCAAAACAAAAATACACATCAAAAAACAAACAAAAAAGATTAGCCAGAGAGGTCGAATACAGCGGGTAGGGCGATTGCTTTGCATGTGACTGACTGGAATCAATTCTCAGCATCCCATATGCCCATATGGTCCCTTGAGCACCTTCAAAAGTAATTATTGAGGGCAGAGCCGCTCCTGAGCTTCACCAGGTATGGCCCAAAAAATAAATAATAATAAAATAATAAAATAAAGAGGGTGTTTGTTTATTTTGGTTTTGGGGTCACACCCAGCAGTGTTTAGGGGTTACTTACAGGCTCTGCACTCAGGAATCACTCCTGATGGACTCAGGTGATCATGTGGAATGCTGGAGATTGAACCCTGGTTGGCCGCATGCAAGGCAGGTGCCTTAACCACTGTACTATCTCTCTAGAAAGAGGGTGTTTAATGAAATTAGTAATGTTTTGCCAGTCTGTTTTTCAGAAGCAACCACCTTTTATTTTTTATTTTTTTTCTTTTTGGGTCACACCTGGCGATGCACAGGGGTTACTCCTGGCTCTGCACTCAAGAGTTACTCCTGGCGGTGCTCAGGGGACCATATGGGATGCTGGGAATCGAACCCGGGTCCTCTGCGTGCAAGGCAAACGCCCTACCCGCTATGCTATCTCTCCAGCCCAGCAACTACCTTTTAAAAAAAAATTATCTACAGGGGCTGGAGCGATAGCACAGTGGGTAGGGCATTTACCTTGCATGCTACAATCCGAGTTCAATTCCTAGAATCCCATATGGTCCCCCGAGCACCACCAGGAGTAATTTTGTGAGTGCAGAGCCAGGCACATTGCCGGTAAGACCCAAAAAGAAAAAAAAAATTATCTGCAGAGTTGGAGGGAGATTACAGAGGGTAGGGTGCTTGCTTTGCATGTGGTCAACTCAGGTTTGATTTCTGACATCCCAGATGGCCCCCTTATTCCTGAAAGGAGTGATCCCTGAGTGCAGACCTGGGAGTAAGCCTGGAGCACCCCCGGGTATGGCCCAAAAACAACAACAAAAATTATTTACACTGGGGCCAGATACAGTGGGTAAGTTGCCTGCCTTCAGCTGATCTGACTGGGTTCGATTTAGGAGTAAGCCCTGAGCATTGCTACAACTCCAGAACACCCTGCCCCCCATTAAAACATGCTACATTGGGCCTCATAGCTCAAAGGCTGAATTGTGCAGTCTTTGCAACCCCAGTAATGTGGTTCCCCTCAACACTGAACCAGGGTATAGCTCTTTGAGTACTGCTGGGTGTGGCCCCCAAACAAAAGCAAAACAAAACAAAGGTTATCTTCATTGAAATTTAAATTAACTTCATAGAATAAAATAAATCTCTTTGGGCCCGAGAGAGGTACAGGGGTAAGAGCCCTTGCCTTGGGGCTGGAGTGATAACACAGCGAGTAGGGCATTTGCCTTGCACGCAGCAGACCCGGGTTTGATTCCCAGCATTCCATATGGTCCCCTGAGCACCACCAGGAGTAATTCCTGAGTGCAGAGCCAGGAAGTAACCCCTGTGCATTGCCAGGTGTGCCGCAAAAAAAAAAAAGAGCCCTTGCCTTGTACGGTTGGCATTGTATATAATCCTCTGAGCACTGTCACTTGTAAACCCTGTTCAGCAGGGTGTAGCCCCAGAATAAGCAAACACTTACTTAGTTTGAGTTAGTTTGAGTTTTGACAGATTGATGCACACTTGAGACAACCCCTGGATTGCCTCTGAATTTAATATAAAGTAAGTAAAGGCCCTCCCGTTGATCGTCGATTTGCTCGAGCGGGCCCAGTAACGTCTCCATTGGAGACTTTGCTGTTACTGTGTCTGGCATATCGAATACTCTCGGTAGCTTGCCGGGCTCTCCGAGAGGGGCGGAGGAATCGAACTCGGGTCGGCCATGTTGGCCGCTTGTAAGGCGAACGCCCTACCGCTGTGCTATCGCTCCAGCCCGAATTTAATATAAATGGAATATAATAATATACACCAGTTTGTGTACGCGTTGTTTAGCAAATTTCTTAGCAAGGTAACCTTTGAGGCTTATTCGCAATGAGTCAGTAATTTCCATCTCTTAAATTGCTGAGCAGTACTCAATTGTCTGAAAAACTATTGGACATATGGGTTATTTTCCTTTTTTTGAGAGATATGAATATATGAATATTTAGGTATAAGCCACTTGTAGGAATATTTCTATTCCTCTGGAATAAATATCTAGGAATACAGCTGCTGGGCCATAAAGACAAATTTGATTTTATAAGAAATGGTCCAAACTTTTCCAAAAGCCCTTAAGAGAATTCTAGTTGTTCTGTATCATCGGTGACGCTTAGTTTGTTTTTTTTTTTATTTTTGGGTCACTCCCAGCGATGCTCAGGGGTCATTCCTGGCTCTGCACTCAGGAATCACTCCTGGCGGTGCTTGGGGGACCATATAGGATGCCGGGGATCGAACCCAGGTCGGCTGCATGCAAGGCAAATGCCCTACCTACCCACTGTGCTATTGCTCCGACGCGACACTTAGTTTTGTCTTTTTCTGACTGATTTCTAAAAACATCTATGTTTTTAATTTATTTCCTTGATGGCAAATAATGTGAGCATATTTTCATGTGGTTATTATCACTTGCATGACATCATTTGTGAAATGCATGTTTATACATTTTGCTCATTCGAAGAGTTGTGTTCTTTTTTTGCGGGGGCGCTCACACCTGGCGATGCATAGGGGTTACTCCTGGCTCTGCACTCAGGAGTTACTCCTGATGGTGCTCAGGGAACCATATGGGATGCTGGGTATTGAACCTGGGTCGGTCACGTGCAAGGCAAACGCTCTACCT